AAATCCACGACACAGACATTATTTCCATTTCCAATTTTCCATCAACAAAACAATGACAAAAGAATCAAAGCGAACGAATACCAAGCTCTGAAAAGAGCCGTTTTGAATGACTCCACAAAAAGCTGTTTTAAATTTTTAAGTTTTCGTACGAGGAAGAAATGACGTTTTGTTTTATAAGTTCCTGAATTTAGTAGATCGAGTAGGCTGTCGATCGAGGTCATAGAGTATGCGAGGTTTCAGAAATAACTATTTCTGGAATTATAACAGTTTCATTGGACGTGAGATTTGTGAACGTTTTTGTTTTTACTGCGATTTGAGGGCATTTGTATCCCGACTTTGTCACTAACCCATTCCGGCATTAGGTATTTCGGGTAAGACGGTCACCGCGCGCCCCAAGTCCGAAAGTGCCCGTACGCCTTTGATGAACACAGGCCGGGAAACGCCCGGAGCGTATGGAAGCCCTGGTCTATCTTCCGATGCTTTGACGTTTCTCAGAGTTAGACTTAGCTTCATGTGTAAATTTGCTTTGGTTGCATTTACCCGGTCCTGTCCTTAAGCATGTTTCCTTAGCTATGTCATCTGTTTGTAAACAGTGCTTTTTCCTCGACAGAGAACACAAATCTGTAATCGTGAATCATTCTCTTGGTGACAAACTGTTGTGTGCTGCCACTGACGAACTTATTGAATCACACACTCCTCAAGGAGAAGGTATAATGATAATTATAAAATAATTTATCAAACACGAAAGACCGTGTTTGACCAAACACCGAGAAGAGAGTTGAAAATACGACATGTAGTGGAGTATTTTTGATAAACTTTGAGGTTTTTAGAAATATGGTCAAACACTGTCTAAAGTGCTTGATATATCTTCTCTATAAAAACTAAAACTAAGGAGAAAACAAAGAAATAAATTCGTAAAAATCTATGCTACTTAAGATCAGATGTCTCAGATTTCCTTTGTTTAAACTTGATGAATTATTAAATGAGTTAGAGAAACATATTCCACATGTATGTCTCCGAGTCTTGTACTAAATCCCGTCTGTCTACCATTTTACTTTTTATTCATTTGTACAGCCCTGAAAGAGTCAGGTGTACAGTGGACGGTTGCTAATGAAGAGGAATACAAGAATGGAGAACGTTTGGTTATAAAACACAACAAGGTACATAACAACAGTAAGAATGATTTACTATTCCAGGTTTGGTACTGCGTGTCTTTGATTGGCTGGGATATCGTATGCTGTCTGTTCTAACCAATCAGAACTAAGACAATCACTTCTCAGCCAATCAGGTGCAAAAATACTAACCAATCGTGACTTGGCATATTGCAACGTTTTCCGCGCTTCTCAGCTCTTCCTCTTACCCGGCTGGCTACACACTGGCACTGCTTTGTGTAAACAGCTATGCAAACTGCTTTAAACAATGGTTTAAAACGTAGGTTTTGCTTTTTAATAGGCCATATCGCAGGTAACTTGGCATGGGAAAGGAGACTATTTTGCTTCGGTTGTTCCTCAAGGTAAGACATTGCGTTGTTTATCAAATAAGTCCTTAGATTGTAACAAAATTATTTCTTTTGGTGGACAGAACTGGTTTTGCTATGTAGTTAAAACGTTTTGAAAAGCTGAATATCTTGATACGCACTAAATATAACGAACACCTTTCTGTATAACACTGGACAACACGTTTCTCCTATTGATTTCCTCGTAGGTGGGAACAAATCCGTTTTTATCCATCAGATGACGAAACGTCGAAGTCAGGTACCTTTTTACAGTCCGTTACTTTTCTGGGTCCGAAATATTAATATCATTAATTAACTGATGATAAATTAAGACCGTTGCAGTGCTGTACATAATTCTGCGACTTTTATGACAAGTAAAACCAATGAATGGACATTAACAGCTCCTTCATCCGCATACAAGACAGTAGACTCTACTTGAAATAAATTGTAGTTTGGAATCGTACCCAGCAACTGTAACTTTTTGTCAAGATAGCCTTTATATAGACTGCTGTTACAGCCTTACTTTCTTGCAGTAGTACTTAATGCAGGTTAAAGCGGCTAACCTGTAGAATGACTTGCAAAGAAATCATTTAGGTCATTCTGACAAAGTGGTTACCATAATTCCCCATGTGCAAGTTCTTGTACACAACAGAATAGATTGAAGATTTCCGTAGAACTGTAATAGTGGTTCTTGCCTCTAACAATGTTTTCAGAATGTGTCAGTGTCACAGGTCATATTGACCAAATGATGTGCTCTCCGTTTCTCAGTGTCCTTTCAAGAAAGCCAAAGGCCTGATCCAACGTGTGTTGTTCCACCCAACGAGACCATTTCTATTCGTTGCTGTAAGTAGTAAAGAACTCAGTGGCATAAATGAACGTTTCAGTTTACACGTATTTTGTATTCCGAAAACTCCTAAACACACAAGGAAAGCGAATACAAAACATACAAGGCAATGAAAGCTTTACGTTTTTGAGAAAGTCAGGCTATTTGTACATCTGTTATGTGACCAATAACGCCCACTTAAAGGGGCGTTGTACTGCTTTAGACTAGAAAGCTCCAAGATTACCTTGATCCTCTCTTGTTGGAGTGCTGTTTGAGAATGTGGGACAACTTAAACCAGACAACTTTATGCTTTTCTTGAACATGTGCAACTGCTTTGGAATGAAATAAGGATGTTTGAGATCTTTCCTTTTCCTAACTGTCTATAATTTCCTTCTCTTCATTAGACACAGCGTTTTATTAGAGTATACAACCTCACAAAACAAGAACTGACAAAGAAACTCGTTTCAAACGCGAAGTGGATTTCCAGCATGGCTGTTCATCCTAAAGGTAGATAATACTCTTTCTCATCCCGAACACGAAATACAATTTTTAAAATTGCACATTAATCAGCTACATTCTGTACTGTTTTTGGTAGAAAACAAGCGAATGGAAGTTTTTCTTTTAGGGAAAAAAGGCAAACTTTGTGGGGGTTTTCAGTTTTCTCTGTGTTGAGATTCATGTCACTATGAATTCGGTACCGCTACATTGTAAATAGTTTGTTTGTACTTGCTCATCAGTGGAAGTTAAGGCTCAAGTCTTGCACAATATAAACATATTTTACATACTTTTCTCAGGTGACAATTTGATTGTGGGAAGCTATGATCGTCGATTATGCTGGTTTGATATGGACTTATCGACCAAGCCTTACAAGACACTAAGGTAAGTGATCGAGCGGATTTGACTTCGTGAAGCGATTAAAGGAGCGCAGTCACGTAGTTTGAGTTATTTTGGCCCCACGTACAAAATTACCTTTAAATTGAAGGAAACCTGAAAATAATAGTTTGCTAAGATGGTAAAACACCAAAGAGATAATAATAAACTATAAAGGAACAGGAATAGTTAAGGATGGACAAGATGAACACGGATTACAAACGACGAACTTGAATAATTTAGGTTCAAGTTTACAAGGTGCGAAAACCGTGCTGTAGCTCCTTTTTAGTCGAGCAAAACAGTTTGGCGCGCATAGACTCAGATTGGGCGTGGCTAATATGTCATGGAATGGGGACGCTCGGAGATTCAGTGGTGGATCGAGTATTCTGACTGCGGTCAATGAGCTTTGTGTTTGCGCACTGAGACCTCTTTTGAGTTGCAGTCTGTCTCTTTACCAAGAAGTGTAAATGGGTGACGGAGTACTTTTGACCCACTCCCGAAAAAATACTGGGGTAATATCTGTCAATCTACTGTCATTTTAGAGAACAACTTCATTAGTAGACCTCCATCCCTGTAGTACTTATTTGTGTGACTTAAATCAATCCTGTGAAATATAATCACGTAAAAGATAAAGAGTGCGCTCGAACAAAAATGTACCCTACTCAGGTACAACCTCAGCTTTTACTGGTTTCCGTAACATGACGCCTGAAGCGACTTGCAGTACTTTGCCTGGGAGCAAGGTTGTCAGTTCGAAACTGTATACCCTCCATTAACTGTTTTTCCTATCGTTTCTTCGATTCGTTTGAAAATAACATGGCTTTAAACTGGAAACTTTCTCAACTAATGATAAAGTTCGCGACTCGCGTGAACAACGGCCTAAATTCCAAAAAGAAAAAGAAAAAAAAATTCAGAGATGTTAGAAATCTTCTGCCCTGCTGCAGATCAGAGGTTTAACGAACCACCTCCCCAGTTAGCTCGGGAGAAACCTGTTGTCCTTCAGTTGTCTGCGCTGCCGCCTCGATCATAAAAACGTGCGTGACTTTCTTATCAGTAAATCATGTTTCTCGTTTTTTAAGCAGAGAGTCGTGATTTCTGAAAAGGCCCGAAAGAGGCAAAAAACGTCCCGGTACATTTGCACGGTTACGACGGAGCGCGCGCCAAGTCGCGCGTGCATGTACGCGAGCGCAAGCTGTCGGTAAATGACGGAACAGAAGAAAGATGAAACGTCACAGACAAACTAAAAGGATATATTTGTTCATATAATCCGAGAATAATGGAGTCAGAGATGAAAAGCAAAGGGTCTGTTCTGCGTAATTTCTCCATTGTCAGTTGTCCCTGTATTCCTTGTGTAACAAATGTCTTGGCGAAGACGGCGACACTCTGGGCGCAGAAGATTTGCACATACGTTGAAAGTGAGTTTCAGGAGTTTAGTGATATTCAAGGAGACAGCGCGGCGGTCGAGCAGCATACAGATCCCGCATTTATAGCGTACATAAAAGGCGAGATCCCAGACCCTAATGTACGTTGTCAGCAAACAGCAACGGAAAGTCATCATCTTATGAAAATAACTCGAGAGAAGAACAACAAAAAAGCCCGCAAAGTCAAGAAACTCGCACCATCTTTTCAGCAAAGGAGCGTGGTTAGAAGTAAAACAGATTTGCGGATGAAGCCTCCACCAGTTGAGGAACTGGTTTACCGCAGAAAGAGAAGTTTTAACACCACAGAGAAAGTTTCTCCAGGTGCAACAGAACCTCCTCGCCGAGAGTCTTCTGGCAAAAGAAATTTTGCTGGTGAACACCAGAGTCATGACTGCCACGAGAATTATACTCAAGATTCAGCTACACACGACTCAGTTAACAGCCAAATTGGAGCTGGGAAAATTACTAATTACCTTGGCTTTCTTGGCATCTTATTAGTTTTTGCTGTAGTTAATGCACTGGTACGTGTGGTGGAGAAGTTTTGCGCTCACGTTCAGCGCGAATGGACTGCGTTCAATGATATTTACGGGCATAACAGTGTAGATGTGTCGTATACAGAGCCCGCGTTTATAGCGTACCTGAAAGGGGAAGGTACAGCACCTTATATATCCTGCCCGCACATAACGTTCAAAGTGTAACGTTTAAAAGTGCTATTTGAAAGCCTGGAAAATATTATAACAAGTCTGAAGAGAATTTGGTTAAATACATAAAGCACTGGTAGCTCTTAAACTTATTACATTTAACTAAGTGACAGTGAAGAACACGGAACGCTGACTTTTGTAACGTTTGTTCATTACATGGCCTAGTATAATTAAAATGTCCCAAGCAACCATGGAGTGGTGTCTCTCTTTAACTGCGCAGAAAAAAAAATTTAAAGGAGCTCAGTCACGGTATTTTGAGTTATTTTGGCCACGTACAAAATTGCCTTTAAATTGAAGAAAACCTAGCATTGGAACAGGCTCTCGGTGACTGATCGCTTCGCTTCTTCCGTTTCGCGCTCGGCGACTTTTTTTTCCGTCCTCGCCGGGAGCCTGTTCGCAAGCTAAAGGAAATCAAAAAATACTAATTTTACTAACTGACGACAGAAAAGCACCAAAGAGATAATAATAAACCGTAAAAGAGCAAGAATGGTTAAGGATGGAGAAGATTGACAGGGATTGCAAACGACGAACTTGAAAAATTTATACTAAACTTTTCAAGATGAGCAAGTCGTGACGTAGCTCCTTTAAATACAAAGTGATGTTTCCCTTTTTTTACCGCCGTCAATCGAGGGATTGCTGAAGACGATACTTAAAGAAAAACTATTTTGGAGCGTTTTGCAGGGCTAGATGGTGAACTTTATATGAGGGAAGGCTTGGTTTGAAAAAACAAAATGTTTTCGCGTGCGTAACTAGTGCCAGTCTCAAACCGTGCGTTAGAGTTTAATACTTGGAAAAAAAGAGGAAGAGTTCCGACTTTTCTCGTGAATCAGAAAAAACTTAGCCTTCTTT